AACAAATATTACTAAATAACACAGCGAGAGGACGAGGACAAAATGCACAATGAAGACATCGATATGGAAAAGAACTTGCTTAGCTGTCTAAAAGCAGAACGAGCTGCCTTGGGATATGGGGAGAGTCCCTGTTCATCAGAGATGCTGCAGAAGGGATTCCTATTCAAAGACAGGCTGGACAAGATTTCTTCCCAAGTCCCTTCCATCTCTAAGCTGCCATGATTTTATGATTTACAAGAAGCTTTCCTATTTACAAAATGGGGCTAAGAATGTTCCAACTACCAAAGCTCACGTGGCAGCTGAAAGGATCGAGTGAGAACAGAAGGGTGAAACCCTAGACAAATAAATGCAAGTTGTTGTTATAGCTAATTATACCTTCTCTAATTTTCAGACATTCTCTGGACATTCATCCCATCGTGGCTGTGGATATCAATGGCCTGAGGCATCTACAAACGAAAGCGATAATCATCCCAATGTAGAATCTAAAGGACAACTGCCCCTGAAAGTTTTTCTTTCAACTCTAATTGGACTGGTGGCATCGCCGGGAAAAGATAATCAATACTATAACCAATTTCTTAAGATCTCCTGCATGCTCCAGTGACCAATTGACTTCCAGCAAGTTGGGCGGGGGGGGGGGGGGGGGGGGGGAAATTAGTGAATCAGTAATTCAAAAGAAATCAGTCTGTCATTATATGATTTTATTCTAAGTTTTAAGCCCCAAACGATAAAAACAAACTGAAATCATCTGGGTCAAAAGGGAAAAAGATAATGGAGTTTTAAAGTCTCTCATTTTTTAAGATTCAAACCCAAAAGACTTTTAGAATTTTCAGTTCCAATACAATCATCTCCTTTCCCCATTAAAATCACCCTTAAACATATGACACCATGATGAGCTACTTAGAAAATGAGATGGTCATAAGGGACCAACTCTCTTCCCCTTGGATTCTCCAGCCTCCATAGTCCCCTATTCAGAGTGAGGAAAAGAAAAAGAGAAAGTCTACGAAGACCGTAGATTACTGGCTACTCTGGATCCTTATTTACTAGCCATTCACAGAGCTGGACAAGATTTTAATGTAGCCCAACTCGCAAATAAAGGGAACTAGCACTAATTGTGTTGTTTTTTTTTTTTAAAGGCAAAGCAAAGAGGGTTTTGTGTGTGTGTGTGTGTGTGTGCGTGCATGCGCGCGCCTGTGATAAGCCCAGTGCTTTCTCTCACTCGGTCAGCAGCATCTGGAGAGGATTTTCTCCAGCAGACAGTAAAGAACTCGATTACACCCAGTTAACTGTGCTCTAAACTGATTATGCATGTGCCAGGCTAATGGATTACATTAGCAAGAGGAAAAATAACATGCAATCAATCTCAATTTGCTACAGACCACACCAGGGTCTGAGAGAAAAACTGGTTCGTGAACTCCCTCCACCCTGACCCAAAATGCTGGGGGGCTAACAAAGCCCGGTGACAGGCAGCGCGCTCTCTGGTGAGAGATGTGCATCTGAATCACAGCAAAGGGGCCAGGCACTAAACCAAGTTGTTGCTGGAACATTCCTATGAGGGACACAGTTTCTCCTGCTCTACCTCTCTGCCAGAGCCAGGGACCTGGGAACCTCCAGGCACCCAGCCGGCAAGGAATCCAAATGATTTACCTTCAGGTAGCACTCTGAGGCTTACAAAATAACTTCGCTCATAAGTTGTGTTGTCTGAATGTTATCATGCCCATTTTACAGCTGAGGCAACTGATGCCCCATCTAGGTCACACAGCTGGTAAGCATCCAAACCAGAATCTGAACCTAGGCCTTCCTGACTCCACATCCAAGACTCTTTCCATCAGACTGCATGGCCTCCTCTGGCCTCAGGGACAGCGGCCCTTACTGCAGAGAATTCCACCTAGAGAATCAGTGTCCAGCACAGGTCTTCATCAACCTCCCTACTAGGCGAGCACACTTCGGCCTGTAGAACTCAGTACCCATCGTCTGACCTAGACACTTAAAAGTCTTTCATGACCTGGTCCCACCCTAACTTACCAGCCTCCATTTCTCCCTTCTCACGTCCTAGAGTGAAGATAATTTGGCCTTCTTCCCCTTCCTCACGAATAATGTCTCTCCCATCCATGCCTTTGCACTGACTGTCTCTTTGCCCCCTCAGACCCCGTGCCTGTTGTATCCCACCTGTCTCTTAGGTTCAAAGCTCTTTGAAGGGTTGAGTTACCATCACAAAATAGATGATTTACAGATCTCTATATATTCAGCCTCGTATGACCGATTGGACATTTCCAAGCGGATGTCCCTGAGATATATCCAAACTCAGTACATCCAAGATAGAACTCATGACTTTTCACCTCAAACCCTCCCCCTTCCACACTTCACTATTTCTGTTGGAGACCCCACCATCCTTCTGGCTTCCCTGGTTCATAAAACCTCATCATCATCCTTGTCTGCTGTCTCCCTTCCAGCCCCCATGGCCAACCAGTCACCAAACCTTGACATTTCTACCTACAACATCTCTTGCATCTGATCTCTTCCTCTCCACTCAGTGCCCCCTCCTTAAATGTAGGCACTCGTCTCTTTTCACCGAGATGCTGACAACAGTTGCCTACTCGGTCTTCGCCACCACAATTCTCTACCCCTACTACCATTCAGCCTACGAAGAAACGGCTGCCAAAGTGATTTTCTTCAAGCGCACACATAACCACGTCACTCCCCTACTCAATCAATTGCTGTGGCTTCTACTGACTCAAAGATAAACTATAAACTCCTCTGTTTGATTTTTTAAAGCTCTTCACAACCTGGCCCCAACCTATCTTTCCAGCTTTAATGGACACTACTCCCCCTCCCACATTCTGTGAGCCAGCCACACAGGCCCATTCTCTGCTCCTCAAATGATGCTTCTTCATCTACTTACTCTGGGCTTTTGCACTGTTTACCTCCCCATGGCTGGAAAGCAACCCCTTCTTATCTCTCTCTCATAGACTCCATCTCTTCTTTTAAGACACAACCCAAGCACCATTTTCTGCATGAAGCCTATCCTGACCCTCCCAAACTATTGTGTATTTAACTACTTTGTATATTTGCTTTATATTTGTTCTGTGTATACTTATATATGTATTGGTTGTCTCCGCATTAGACTATAAGCCTCTTGAGAGTAGGGATTATTTTATTCTTTGCATCCCTAAAGCCCAGCACAGTATTTGGTGCGTAATAAGTGTTTAATTCATGCTTGATGACTGATTAATTCTAAAAATGCTAGCTGCTGTATGATTATTGTGCTGACGACATGAAACATCTAGGGAGGGATCGAAATAGAATGGAACCAGGGTCAGAGTCTAAGTAACACTCCCTCTCAAAGCTTCTCCCTCAGCTCTAATGTGGGGGTCCTTTGGACTTCCTCCTCCTGTGACTTGAAAGCAACAGAATAAATTTGAGATGCCTGGACTAAATCTCTTTTCAATTATCTTCATTTGGTGAGAACAACTAGAAATCCTATCACCCGCTTAAATACAATTAAGATACATTCCTTTGAGCTTCCACTTAAAAGTACTGTGCAGAGAGCCTCTATTTTAGGAAGGGGGGAGAATGTAGCACAAATCACTAGACAATTTTTGGTAACTTAATATATATGGTAGGGCCCCAAAGAACCCCAATAAAATTGAGACTCCTTATGGTCATGCCTCACTCTTAACTATACCTACAATACTCAAAGAAGGTTTCCAGCTTTGCATTTATTTTCCCCCTCCACCTCACCCCTCAAAAAAAAGAGCTCAATGTTGCATCCTATACAGAGGATTTCCAAAAACCACAAAATTGATTTGGATTAGCCATATTTCATTTCCAGGGTTACTGAAACAAGGGAGTAACCAATCTGCAGATTAAGAGATTTCATCTATTTGGATTCTCAATTTAAAACAACAATAAACAAGGAATTAAAAGTGAAATTGGCTAAAGAGCTAACCTGAGCATAATTAAAATCTCCATATAGAATACTCACTGCCACAATAATACAGGACAGAGGAAAGAGTGTGGTAGAAAAGAGGAGAAATGAAAAATAAAATGGAGGAAAATGAGAAGAAAGAGAGGGTGTTTGTGTATATGTGTGTGTGCGCGTGCATGCACAAGCATGTGAATGTATGCGGAGAAGATATGTGAAACGAGGCTAGTTAGATTTATGGCGATTTGTACCTGATTGTTCATACTAAAGCCATTATGGAATGATTAGAGAAAAAGGTGAAGCTTTAAGTCCAGTGAAAATCAATAGAAACGTCTGGAGCAATTCTGCCACTCGAGTGAAAGGACTATTTACAGTATCCGGAGCTCCTCTTGGGTTACAGCCTACAGAGTCAAGAGAAGGAAAGGGGGGAAGAGGAAAGAAGATGGAGGAAGGGCAAAGAAAAGAAAAGAGGTTTGGCAGCTGGAAAACAGTAAAGAAAATAATGGCAGAAAAGACCAAAAAATGGAAAGAGACAGTGGGGTGAAGAAGGAAGAGAAAAGGACAGAAGAGCAAAATGGAGAAAAGGTGAGACTGAAAAAGAGAAGGGAGAAAAAAACAAAGAGGGAACAAAGGAAGAAGAAAGCAAACAGAAAGAAGGCAAAGGAGAGAGGGAGAAAAGAAAGCGGGTGTGAGGGCAAAAGCTAGACACTACACCGATGTTCATAGTGAAAAATGCAAAGGGAAGAAGGCAACTCGAAGGGAGGGAGCTGAAACTCGGGAATTGGGCAACATAATGAACACACCTTAGGCTGTAAATGAAAAGTCATTTGTACCCTCCAAACTCCAAATGTCAGTTAAACGTCTTTTTCATAATCAAACATACTAAAGGCAAAAAAGATCAACTTTCATGGGAGGGGCTTGCTTCTATGTCCCAGAGAGCTGCGGGAGATGGGAAGAACAGTTGAGTTCTTCCCCTGCTACTCTACCATCTTCCATTGGGCAAAATGACCCCTCACTCTCCTGGGAAGCTTAGGGGTGCCCACTCCCAAGAAAGAGAGGACAAACGAGCGCATCTTACCTTGTACAGCTTCAGGCTTGCTTCATGCCTCGAGTTGACCGTGTGGAGCCGTAGTTTCTCCAGGCTATTAGTATAGTAATCACAGGCATTGCACTTCAAATGTACAGGGTTTCCAATGGCCACACACTTCAATCTCCACTCATTGGCCTTCCCACCTTCCTTGATGTGCGCCACTAGTTGGTACTTCTGTACGTGCTTGTCTGTCTTGCAATGGAGTTGAAAATTGGCCTTGAGCTGGGTATTGTACCGGCAAAGTTTGCACTGATAGGAGTCCCCCATCACTGCCTTCCATTCCTCCTCAGGAAGGCCACGTTCCATGTTCATGTGCAGTCCCAGCAGGTCCAGGCTGTCCGTGGTGAATTTGTTACACACCGCACACTGGAAAAGCTTCAGGGATGGGTCATTGGTCTGCGTGAAGCTCTCACCCAAGTTCATCAGTTCCTCAGACACCAGCTGCCCACCCCCCAGCCGCATGTCTAGGGGTATTTCACCGCCCACTGCATAAAGGAGAGAGAGAGAGAGAGAAACCAAGTCAGAAAGAGAGGCTCTTGTTTGCAACAGTCGGTCGTCTCAGGTTGTTAGGGCCAAGTTCAGCCACGGTAAAACGTTCTCTCTTTAATTCAAGTCAAGAGAGGAAGACATGAGTCACACTGGGGTCTGTTTCAGACATGAAGGGAAACCAAACCTCGCCAGGTGTGCTGCACAATACAGAAATGTTTCAAAGCCTGGGATTCCCCTGGACACAGCTGGCTCAACCCTGCGAGATAGTCTGATACTCCAGAAAGTGTCTTTTGAAAGGGAAGGCCTCCCCATTCGCTACATACTAGGTAACGGGATCATACAATTAGAGCTGGACAGGCCCTTAAAGGTCATTGAGTCATACCCCCCTCATTGAAAAGATGAGGAAAGTCAGAGGCTGGAAGAGTTTAAGTGACTCAAGAGACACACAGTTATTAAGTGTTTGAGGAGGGATGATTAATACAGGGTGTCCCGAAAGTCTTAGTGAGGTTTTCAGGTTTAATAGCTTAAAATGGACACATTAAGACTTTCTGGGATACCTTGTATATGACTGTTGAGTCAGGGTGAGGGACAGCCAGGAGGCCATCTAGACTCAATTGCTGAATCGGGGAGCACAAGCCAACGTGGGCACCTCTGCAGAGTCTGACAGGCAGAAAAATGGGCAGCAAGTCAGTCAACAGCAACCTCCTCCTTTGTCAGACTTCCAACGCTTGCCAGGGTTAGGTCCCAGGATTTACTTAAACCAAAGATTCCAGGATTGGAGACACATCTGTAAATGGAACCGGGCTCTGCACTTGGGGAATGATGGGCAGCGATGTACAAGAAAAGCAGCACTATTCATTTTAAAGAAAGGGGCCAGAGAAAGTCTTTTCCCCTCCTTCCATATATCTGCATCAATCTCCAGTGCGCCTCTGACCTGGAGAAACAGAATGGACCTCCACTCATTTACAGTGAATTAATATAGTGGGTTCTCATTTGTAGTTACTACAAATGCTTGGGACATGTGAACTTCCCTCCATTACCTGAAATTGTACAGCTAACCCCAGAATTTAGTTTCTGGACCCCCCCCCACCTCCTAAGACACACGTGCACACACATGCACACATTTCAACCAGTTTGTGTTTTTCTCCCCTCTAATATTTCAACTAGACTTTTCTCTTCAGTTGGTCTGGATTTTGTTGTTGTTTGTGTTCAATCAGTCTCCTAGCTGGTAACCAATCCAAGAGAGATGCTATCATTTCACGTTTTTAATATTTGGCCTATGAATGTTCCACTAGAAAGCATCATGATGGTGATAGCATTTCTATGGGCTCTTTTCAACATCATGACTGTGTTTCTGAAGGCTAAGCAGCATCTAAAAATCCACCTAAATCTCTTATCTACACACATTTCAGAAGACTTTAGAAAGCTCGCTTTTGGCATCTCTTGTGCAAGGTATGGTTGCTCTCATCAGGGAAATGCATTCTTTTTAGGACGAGAGAGCAAAGAATGGGAAAAACGACCCTCTGTTCTCTCATCCTTCAGTGTATAATAGGTCACCTGAACAGAGATTACCATCCACAAAAATGCATACAACATCCAGGTCAAAAAAAAAGAGAAAAGATTCTGCCTGGGGAGAGCATAAAACAAGAAACAAATAAATATTTGTTTCCTTCCCATCCATGGCCAGTAGCATCCAATCTCATCTTTTTTTTTTTTTTTTAAACAACCTCAGTATTACTCTAAAAGGGATTTAAGCCCTCAGATGCCGGATGTTTAATTAAAAAGCTAAGTCCAGTTGTCAACCAAGAAGCTATAAATCTCTTTCCCACTCCCCAAGTTCTTGACCTAAAATGAAAGTCAATGAAAAAAAAAAAAGCCAAAGAGAAATGGATTTGAAACTATGAGTTCAGAAAACAGCATTGGCCTAAATGGACTTCAGGTCCTAAATCTTGAGGAACAGATGTGGGTGTCTGATACAGGCAAATCGGTGGGCGTCCAATGTCGCCAAATAGAAATCTTACTTAAACACAACTAATTTATACCACATTCCCCAATGACAGAGACCAGCATATGTCACAATTCACAAAAAAGAAAGTGGATCCCTATTCCAAAGTCAACTGTTTCAAGCCTTGCAGCCATTTGGAATCATATCTACCAATCAAAAAACATTTATTAAGCACCTACTATGTGCCAGGCACTGTGCTAAACACTGGAGACCAAAAAAAAAAAAAAAAGACAAAAGACAGTTCCTGTCCTCAAGGAGCTCCCAAAGATTCTGAAGCATTCCTTTAATATGCATTCCCTTCACACCATTACTTAAAAAGACAAATGACCTTGAGTTAAAGGTTGGAAAAAACTACAAGTATGTGTCAAGCCCAATATTTCCCTTCCGATAGAATTTCATCTAAACTTTCCTGCTACTATGGGACTAAAGATTTCATTCTTAACCATTTTCAAGGAAGGATATACCACAACCACCCTGGAATGGAATGAATTCCTTTGTTTAGCAACATTTAAGTTAATGCTATTTCAAAAGAATGGCTAGAATAATAAACCTTAAGCACTGGGGTAAATTCTGCAACAAATAAATAAATAAAAATAGAAAAGATATCTTTTTCTAACAAAATCCAATAACCTGTAATATCTGAAGACTTCTTCCGGATTAAGAGCTACTCTAGGCCAAGCAAAGACAAAATAGGAAATTATAGCTATTTTTACTTATATAGATTTGCTTCCTATTACTGAGATCTGTTTGAAAGCCCTCACTTTGAATGAGAGACTTGCTTTCTCAACGTTCCCTACAATCGAAGCTCAATAAAGGCGATGTTTCATCCCCATGCCCGCCTAGGGCTGCCATGTGAAATGTTATAGTCATACTATCCCACCTAGATCAAATAACTCCCAAGATAAAGAAGAGCTAGAAAGTTGCCCGGTGTTCACTCCGTCACACCAATCCCAGTGCTGGGAATGCAGAAGTTGTTCTTGCCTGGACTAGATAGAGATCACGTTCCTACAACAATACTAAGAAGTCTGTTCTTTTTGGAAACAAAATGAAGACAGAGATTATTTGTATGTTAGATTAAAAGATTACCTGTTGTCATTACAGGCCCTTGAAAATAGTCTGCTTTGATATTATGCCTTCCTAATCTCTCTCTCCAGTTTCAGCTAGATGCATTAATCATGTCATATTAGGTAGGGTGAGATGAGGCCTGACTGGGTTATCTACTTTAACCTTCCGCTTCCAGTCAGAATGGCATTTGACCAAAGACAAGGTGGTGATGTGTCACCTGGTCATCATTCTCTCCTTGTTTCGCCTGTCACCTCTTGGACGGGTGCTACGCCCCCTTCCACATCAGTGGTTTTCCTCATCTGGCTCCCTATTTCTGGAATGCCCTACTCCCTTCAATTTGACACTCTACCTAACTCTAACACCATTTCCTCCACAAAGCCTTCTTTGATCTCCCTCCTGCCCCTCAACTGCTAACCTTTCCTTCTCAGAACTTACATAGAACATTGGCTACTCTCCAATTCACTTACACAATATTATGAGTTACAGCTTTATAAAATTAGACTGTAAGCTCCAAATGGGCAAGGGATTGTGTCTTCTCTAAACATGGTACCTCCTCTTGCACTTGGCACAGATTTATATATAGTGTTTAGAAAATGTCTGAATGACTACATCTTAAATCCTCAATTAAATTTTAAGTCCCTAGAAAATGTGATCTTTACTACCTTCCTTTTTTTTTTTGGAGTGGGGGAAAGGGTACCTCAAGTAGGGATTAGTAGAGTGACAGACACACAGATATACAAGAAGTCTATTTTTCCACCTTATTTCCAGTTCTGTCAGAAATTCCTGTTAATTAAAATCTCTATTGGTCCAACTGAAGCCCATCCCCCTTCCTATATTCACAGAACAAAGAATACCATATCATTACTACCTAGACAGCTTTCTTTCACTTCCTTGAAGAGCTATCCCTGGCTTCCAGTTCTCCGGGTAAAGTCACTACTATTCCTTCGAGCTGTCTTTGCAAAACTGTTGGAACAATAATACCGATGGCAATGGTCAGGGTTTGATCATTTTGAGAGACAATAACAACCTATGTTTACATAATTAAGCAATTTAAATTAAAATATTTTAGCATCCATTGGAATTTAAGAGTTATTTAAAATGTTTGAAGCTAGAAAATATTACAAATTTAAACACACACCAGGAAATAGACAAACTGAAAGTTATAACAACAATTCATCAACATCAATGAGTATTAAAGGAAACGTGTCAACACTTGAGAATTACTGGATTTATTTCTTCTGGCATGAACCTATACCACAGGACAAAGGCATTTACATTTAATTACCACTCCTCTATCAGGAATGGGCCACATGGCTTAAGACATCCCATCCCTAACCTCAAGGGGTTTAAGTCATCATAGAAGGTGGAGAGAATGAGAGAAAGTCAGAGGCCAAAGGTCGGGGGACATAGGTGGAAAGACAAAGGGAAAAGTTTAGCTTTAAAAACTGGTCCAGTGAAATAACTTGGTTTGAGAAAATGGAATCTCAAAAGAAGTGGTACTGGCTTCTAAACAACATGGTGTGGGGCATCCAATATACAAGAAGTACCTCTAAGGTCTAGATAGGATAAGCACAAAGAGAAGCTCAGTAGGTAGTCCCTGAGTACATAGCATTCTGATTCAACATGCCTCACTTTTCTAAAATTATCTCCAATCTAAAAATGGCCAGAAAGTGCCTATCAACTTAGCTTCCAATTATTACAGCTAATCCGATTTTTCTACAAGCCAGGCCTCATTTCTACAGTTGAAATTTTCAAGGTGATGAAAGCCAACTTACCAAGAGTTTAACCAAGGTTAACCTAATCTACCTTGTCCTATTAATTTGAACCAAGCAGTCACCCATCAATATTTTAACACTGAATTGTTAACTGACCCACCATCATTCTTTTTGACCAAAGAGATGGGTATTTAGCGACTCAATTCCAAATTCACTTCCGTTGATTCCATACTCACCTTATCTTCTTCTTCTTTTTTTTTTTTTAAAGGAGGGCTTGAGAATCTGATTGGCGATAGTGGAAATTCTTGGGAAT